ACTCAAGTCAACTTCTTAGGATACATCATTTCAAATGATGGACTTATGATGGATCCTAAGAAAATTCAAACTATTATGGATTGGAAGATCCTAAAAATGATAAGAGATGTCCAATGCTTTTTGGGATTTGCTAACTATTATTGGATCTTCATCAAAGACTTCTCTCAAGTTATAGCTCCACTTACACGTTTGACTTGCAAAGACAAAATTCAATGGAATCAATAAGCAGAAGTAGCATTTGAAGCTTTGAAGACAGCCTTTATTTCTGAGCCAATCTTGTATTTCGTCGATTTTTCTAAGCCATTTTTTATGGAAACAGATGCATGGCTCTTTGCTTTGGGTGCCGTATTGTCACAAATGGGAATAGATGATAAACTTCACACAATAGCTTTTCATTTCAAAAAACTTTCAATAGCTGAGATCAACTACGAGATCCACAAAAAAAAACTTCTTGCAATCGTGGATTTGTTTCAAGAATGGCGCCATTATCTAGAAGGTGCTTCCAGCCCAGTCACAGTGTCTATGAATCACAAGAACCTTGAATATTTTATGTCAGCACGTGTTTTGAATTATCGCCAAGCCCGTTGGAGTATGTCTTTGTCAAGATTCAAATTCAAGATCACTTATCGACTAGGAAAACAACAAGGTTTGTCAGATGCACTCTCTAGATGATCTTATCTTGTACCAAAGGAAAGAGATGCTGCTTTTGATCAACAACAAATAATTCTCTTGAAGTCAGAGCATCTTCATCTTTGAGCAATGAAATCAATACTAATTGTTGATTCAACTTTCATTAAGCAAGTTCAGTCAAGTATGTCTTTTGATCCTCTAATTTATGATTTTAAGAAAAATCCTTCAAAGTCTCATAGTACTTCCAGGTTTGAATTCAAGAACAATCTACTATATTTTGAGAGACGCCTATATGTTCCAGAAGGTGAAGCTCAATTACATGTTCTACAAGTTCGTCATGACTTTTCAGCAACAAGATATTTTGGATACAATAAAACTTTGGAATTAATATCTAAGGATTTTTGGTGGCCCCAAATATGGAAGGCAGTTAAAGATTTTGTACAATCTTGTGATGTTTGCTCGAGATCAAAAACTCCTCGTCATCAATCTTAAAGACTTTTTTAGCCATTATCCATTCCAGAACAACCATGGTCTTCTATTTCTATGGATTTCATCACGGATGTTCCAATCTCAGGTTCTTAAGACTCTATATTTAAGATAGTAGATCATTTTACCAAGATGGCACATTTTTATACCATGTATAAAATCTATCACATGTAAAGAAACAACTAAGCTCTTTCTTGATAATATCTATCGTTATCATGGATTACCCAAGGATATTATATCAGATAGGGGAACTCAATTTGTATCAAGATTTTGGCGAACTCTTTTCAAGATTCTAAAAGTGGATATAAAACTATCTTTGGCATTCCATCCTCAAACTAATGGACAAATGAAGCGTGTTAATCAAGTTTTGGAGCAATATTTAAGATGTACCATTAACTACCAATAAGATGATTGGACAATGATTTACCATTCGCAGAATTTGCTTACAATAACATCGTACATTCTTCTACAAAATAAACATCTTTTCTTAATAATTATGGTTATCATCCACGACTTGATGCTTTTGACTTTTCAAAAGTTGATAATCCTGCTGCGAAAGATTTGGCAATTCATTTGTCAGAGCTACATGCAACGATGAAGGTGCACTTAAAAGAAGCTCAAGAACAAAAAAAGGTCAATGCAGATGTCTATTGAAAGAAATAACCACCATTTTACATAGGTGATAAGGTATGGTTACTTTATCACAATATCAAAACCACTCATCCTTGTGACAAGTTGGACTATTGAAGGCTTGGACCATTTTCTATTTCTGTACAAATCAATCTAATTGTATATCCTTTACATCTATTAGAGTCAATAAAAATCCATCCAATATTCCACGTATCTCTTCTTGAACCATACAAGACAGTGGACATACCAAGAAGAAGACAAGCTCCACCGCTTCCTATAGAAGTAGACAATAATCAAGAATTTGAAGTGAAAGAAGTGTTAGATTCAAGGCGGTACCAAAATAAATTAAAATATCTTGTCCATTGGCACGGATATGATATTAGTGAACGCACATGGGAGCCAATAAAGAATCTTACAAATGCAGCAAAGGCATTGGAGGCTTTTCATCGATGACATCCATCAAAATCAAGATGAAAACCTTCTTTATAAAAGAAACATGATCTAAGCAAGATAACATTCTACTTTCAATCCTTGTTTGTAGCTTCTTTGTAGTTGTGATGCTTAAAAAATAGAGAACCAACAACCAACAGATTTGATTAAGAGCCTTTGTTTGCTAACGTGTCGAACGAGGTATTATGATTGTCACAACCTTCAAGATGACGCAATCGAGATGAAGATCTTTAAGAAGAACATGTTCTTCCTCAAATACATGGCAAGATACAACGCGTTTGATATTACGACCTTGGAAGGGACTCCCAATATTTGGTGATTTTACTAGAGGTAGAAACAACTCTTGATGGTGTTCCAAATGTTTTATTCGAAAGAAGTTATGAAGGCCTCAACAATGATCAAATAATTGGGTGGTCTTTTCGCCTTGGTATGGGATACTACCGATGGCTGAGAGGCCCTATCAAATATCTTCGAAGAGAATAAAGATCAGAGTATGTGGCAAATGTAATTCGTTGCATCATAGATTTTCTCAACATATGATGACCGCTTCTCGTGGAACTCATCCCTAGAAAGGGGGGTAATGTCACGGACATACTCATGTAAGCCAGTAATTACATATGTAATTAGATAGAAGTAAGTAAAAGTAGATAAAAGTAAGTTAATTCTATAGTATTTGATATAAAAGCTTCTTAGAAGCTTTATAGATGCTGCTTTGACTTTATAGGTGTCTTTAATTGACTTTTTGGAATTATAAACGTGGTCAACAAGTTGGCCATGTGCCACACATGTTGTTAGCTTGAACACTAAGTTAACTATGTGGCCCACACGTAGAAAAACTTGCCTTGTAAGTCAAGGCATGTGTCCTACAAAGTCAACACATATTGGAGGTCTTATATAACGTTGCCATGTAGCCTCTAGTTAGATAGTATATATAGAGACAAGAGTGAAGTCTTCTTCACTCTTGTCAACTCCTTTCTTGCTTCCAATCTAGTTTCAACGGTCTCTAGTTTTCTTGTCTTTTGGCAATAGCCATTCTAGTTTCTTTCTTTATATACATATCAAGTTATTTCAATTTTTTCATCTTTCTTTGAGAGAAGTCTCACTTGTTTATTTGTCTTTATCATGTTCTTGTCCTTGACATTAGAAGGTGCAAAGAGGAAAATTTGAATATCATTTATATTGAAAATGACCAATTTGACTATGTATATAATTAAAATTATTAGATTAAATTACCAAGAAGAAAGAAAAAAAAGTAAAAAAATAAAGAATAAGAATATGACCAAAAAGATCTCATGAATTCTAATAAAAAATATAAATATAGCATAAATAAAAAATTAATAATAATATAATTAAAATTAAAAAAAATTGGTAGTATAATAAAAGAGAAAAAAAATAACAACACAATTACTAAAGTTGTTAAAAATATAAGTAATAAGCTATATTCAAAAAATCAAATTTGGAGCAAACATAAAAAAAATTTAGAGAAGAAACTAACTTTTAGATGCAATAATAGAATATAATTGAGACTATTAAACTTGTATTTGTTTAAAAAGGCAATTTATATGTACATGCAAAAATAACAATTTTGTGTGTATGTGGTGTGGATGTGAATAAATTAATGATGAAGCAATTACAAATCAAGAATTTTTTTGCATATTGGATTTTTGGATTTGATAAAGTATTCTACTTCTTGAATTAACAATTTTTTTACATATTACAAGTAATACTAATTTTTGGTTTTTAACAATTTCACTTTTCTATTGAAAGCATTGGAGTTGTAGGAAAGAACTTTCTTTTTTGTCTTTTTTTTTTTTTTTTTTTTTTTTAACTTTAAGAGAGTATTTTTGTTTTAGTAGATTAGAAACTTCAGTCATATTCTTAAACACATGTATATCCCATGCTATACATGGAGCAAATTTTATCAAACTAACAAAAATATCTTGTGTATCATATTGGGTGAATGTGTAATTCTTTGAATATTACTCGTACGAAAAGGCTATTCGTCTTCTCTCTATCTCTCTACTTAAACCTTTTCTCAAATTACCTAAAAACATCAATTCTAAAGCAAATAATTTTAGAAATAAAAAATAAATCTATTCTAATTTGCTAGCATTTACTTCTATGATGGCAATAACTGATGACTAATGTTCTTAAGGTAATACTTACACTTATAAGATATAAAGGACATTTTATTACAATATAAGTAACCTCGTCCTCAATACACGAGATAATCTCAAGTTTGTACAATTATTCTTCTATGATGGTGAATTGGAGTTTTCAAACCAATTAAAAAATATACAAGTATTCAAGCTCAAAAATTACAAGCCTTGCAAAACAAGACGTACATGCAAATATCTATATGCAAAGTTGTTTGTAAATGGTAAAGAGCACATGGAAGTCAATAGAGATGCTGAGAATTTGCATATTTACTAATAATGTTCAAGCTTGGGGAGTTGATGAAAGTTTGTCAACCTTATTGGGAGGGTGCATGTGTTGTTCATGAACATGTGAAAAGGAAAATGGATGATAAATTTGGGAAGGGAGAGGGGGGGGGGTAATGGTGATGTCAGAGGTGACGAAGCCAGAGCAAGGGGAAGGGGGAGGGAGTATCAGGAATAGAGAGACAGGCAGGCAGGCAGAAAGAGAGAGAGAGAATGAACGAAGGGGGAGAGAGAGGGCCAAGCGTGACTTCACAACTCTCTTCTCGGTGGCTGGCTGGCTCCTGCTGTGCGATGGACGATGATGATGATGATGATGATGGAGTTGAGCAGATGACCGGAGTGGACTTGACGTCCCTGCGCACCACCATATTCCCATTCACCATTCCCAAGCACAAGCACAGCACAGCAACCCCCAGCCCAACCTAACGCCCTGCCTGCCTGCCTCGTTCGCTCGCTCGCTCCTCTTCAACCCCCGCTTTCCATGCCCTTCCTCTCCTCCTCTCCCTCCTCTTTCTCCCCGTTGCTCCTCTGTTGGTTCAGTTTGCTTTGCCTCCCCTTCCCTTTCTTCGGCCATCTCTCCTTGCCCCCCCTCCTCCTGCTCCTTCATCCTTATTATTCTCCCCTCTCTAGTGACGCTTCATCACGCCGCCACTCTCCCTGCAACCCCTCTTACTATTCTCTCTGCATCTCCTCTTTCCTCCCTTCTCTTCCCTTCATTTTGATTGTCCACAGCCCCTTCTCAATTTCAGTTTCCACCCGTACGGATGTAGCCTAATTCTGCACCATCATTCCGAGGAGGACTTGGATGCCGTCCCCTCAATTGCATATCTTTCGATGGGATCCGATGTTTGCCTATTGCCCCAACTCTCTCCGCTATCCCTAGGATTATACTAGTGTCGTTGGGGTAGGTCTGCTGCTTCAGAGTGGGGATTAAATCAATGGTCCCAATTCTGTCCTTGCCCTGCTATTTTCGCCGTGCAAAATTTGACGTGTTTCTTACTCGTGCGCACACGATAACACCTGAAGTCGTGCATAACTGGAGACAATTCTGAGAATTTTGGATCAGCCTACGCTTCATAGATTTTCTACTCGCACTTATCGACAGATGACGTCTTAAATGCCTGGATTGTGTAAGATTGTTTAGTTCACCGCCATTCAAGCTTTTAGTACATTGCACAAAATTGTTTGTCATGCGTGCATTTGCTCAAATTTAAGCCTGAATAAGTATCAAGATTCCAGTGTATATACGTCCAAACTGTCAAGAGGAGCTATGGCGGGTGTCGAGCAGATGAAAAAGAAGCTATTGCCTCTCTTGAACATGGATTCAAGTCTTGCGCCAGGCATGTCCATTGACGCGTCTGCGTCTTACAAGGTATGTAGATCACTACCTGGCTGCTGTTTCATACTGCGCATTCAGATTCAAATGTCCAATGTTCCTTCTACAAAGTTTAAAATTGCTACGTTCTGCTCTCTCTCTCTCTCTCTCAATATATATATAGTATGTAGGAAAGGGATACACGGTATTTCCCTTTCTGTCACCTTTGCCTCCTCGCATCGGTCTCCTATGACTCGGGATAACTACATCTCCTATTGGAGAACTTCACTCGGCCGAGAGCAAAAGCAGCTTGGAGCAGTTCTTTGCATTAATAAATTTTGATAGCGTAATTTCTTGCTATCGTTTCAAGTAGGGAATAAATGAACTTTGACGCAGACGAGGGCGTGACCTTTGTAATCTTATTTGGCATCATTCCTTAGCTTGTATTTTTGACATCGGCTTTCAGGTATTACCTCGTAGGTTGTGGATTTTGAGGAATGAAAAATAATAATAAATTAGGAACTCTATTGACAGCCTAGCTAGCGTGGAACGAGTAGGTGTAAAAACAGCCTTGATGACTCAAAATTTTACTCCCTTACACAACCTAAAGCGGTGCAGGGTGTATTTTTGAACCACCGTCTTGTAGTTGGTTTGATGAAGTGGTTAAATTGAAAGTCTTTCCGGACTGGACATGGTATCCTCCTATCTCTGGATGGTTGAATATGACTGAGGATCTTTAGGAAGTGCTGAATGTGAGTTTCAGGTACCTATTTTGGCACGTCCCATGAACAAGTGTATCAGCTATCGGTCTTTTATAATAAGATAGTGCACAGTCGTTTTATTCGTAAGGTTCATATTCTTCTTCTTCGTAAGAGCACAACAAGCACCTTACATATTTCGTTCTCCTTAATGAATATTCTATAATCGCTATGTGGCATGTATGATATAAATCCTTACGAAATGATGTCGATGGTGTGTTTTATCATTTCTCTTATGTCAGGTCTAGGGTTTTGGCAAGGGTTGGAAGCTCGTATGCTGAGGGGCAGTCATAATGTCTATCTCGTCAACCGTTTCCTTTACAAGTGATATAATCTGCTTTATGGTGGCTGATTATTCTTATTTTTTCTTCAGAGCTCTAAAGTTTAAGATTTCGAGTTCAGATGGTATTTCTATGGAACTTCCTTCAGTACAGGGCTTTCTCATTTTTGCTTAGTGCACAATGCTGTTTTGCGTTTAGCTGGTTTTTTAGGGGCGAGGATCAAGACATTGTTATGCGAATCAAGTGAATGTTATCATCCAGGAATGCATTTTTCATCTGTTTTAGGATGCATGGTATAATGCATTTTTTCATTTGAAGCTCAATGTAAGGACGCTGCTGAATACTACAACTATCACTAGTGATATTTTGAAATGCATCACCCCTACGCACCAGGGAGTGGTCGTTCACATGATGACTGCTGTCTTGAATGCTGCATTGAATTTGTCATCAAATTTAGCTGGTAATGTGTCTTTAAATTTAGACCTTCAAGATGAATAATAAACACCTTTTGTTCTTAATGAACTTAATTAATTACTAATACTATTCTTGGATGGATGAAGGTGACGGATGGAGGCTCAATGAAACTTCTTAGTAGGTCTTGTGCGGAGTACAACATCAATGAGCTCGGACTCCAGAAACGAAAATCAACAACATTCGATGCCCAAGGGGATGCTGGGGATCAAGAGAAGACATACCAGTGTGCATCCAGTGAGATGTGTGTCTTCGGGGCAATTGGTTGGGGAGCTAGCAGTGTAGTTCGTAAGGCCATACACATTCCAACCCATCGCATTCTGGCTTTGAAGAAGATTAATGTCTTCGAGAAGGCAAGCAAGCACTTATTTTTACATGGTTATTACACATATGGAGCAGTTCTAATTGTTGAGTTTTGGTTGTTGATATACATTTTTTCTCCCTGTAAATTTTGTTCACCAATGGTTGATATTTCCTTTCTGATCGTCGATATGAAGTTTCGTGATGATCGATCATCAGGCTCACCTCATGATTTCCATGGTCTGAAACAATAGTTCATACTCTGTATCTGTACAACAGAAAAATTATCTTTTGCAGATGTTTTATTTCGTCCACCATTGTCCTTGTTCAGGAGAAGAGACAGCAGTTGTTGAACGAGATCAGAACACTTTGCGAGGCACCGCAAGTTAGGGGTTTGGTAGAGTTTTACGGAGCATTCTATTCTCCAGACAGTGGACAAATCAGCATAGCACTTGAGTACATGGACGGTGGCTCTCTTGCTGATATCGTTCGAACGAAGAAGTTCATACCTGAACCTATCCTCTCCGTCATCACACGCAAAGTATTACAGGTATATATCTTAAGTCACTCTCAACCCTTCATTCTGCCATGCAGTCCTACAACATGCCTTTTGCTATTGATTTTCAAGGCAGCATGTCAATGTGGTTCTACGCAGGCATTTTTTGTTTCTGAAATTTCTTTACGAAGCTGCATTTTGACTTCAGTTGCTTGAGTGTCATATATTGAATTTTGTATTTGTTTTTACTACACTGTTCCAGTTAACTGTTGTGATATACACCACTTCTCAAGCTTTCCATTATTTCACTTCTATGACAAATAACATTCATGAAACAGAAGGTGGTGACACTAACGACTGCCACTTAGGTAGGACTAGTGTCTGGCCTTGGCGTAGTGATAAAGTTTAGATTGGTACTTTCAATGATTAAGTCTTTCATGGAACGTCAACTAACCAAAAAATGTAGCACAAAAACCATCAATAGATTCATGGCATCATTTACTTTGTTTTTATTTTTGAATCGTACCAGGTTTAGGGTTCATTGCGACTTGTTTAAGGTTCTGACCTTTAAATACAGTCCTTTATTTGACAAACTTTGAAAACTCAGGGCTTTTATCTAACTATTACACTTCATTTTAACAGTGTTTTTATTTGTTAACATCCTCTCTACTTGTGTTGTTTCATTACCAGGGCTTAGTGTTTCTACATAATGTAAGACATTTAGTACATCGGGACATTAAGCCAGCGAACCTGCTGATTAATCTTAATGGGGAGCCCAAGATTACAGATTTCGGAATCAGCTCGGGTCTTGACAATTCTATTGCCATGGTATGTAATGTATTCTTGGTTGCTGGTCTTGGGCTATTGCTCTCTATTACCATTTCCTTTCCAGCTAGTCTGAGGGTAGTTGGACCTCGAAAAGGTGTCTGATTGTGTTGAATGTTGGCCCGCGCTCTGTTTGATGTTTTGGTCACAATATTCAACTATCATTTTCGTGTGTTTCTTTTGCAGTGTGCTACCTTTGTAGGCACGGTGACATACATGTCTCCTGAGAGGATCAACAACGAGTGTTATTCGTACCCGGCAGATATATGGAGTCTTGGGCTGGCGTTGTTGGAATGCGGTACTGGTGAATTTCCATATAGTGCAAATAAAGGGCCTGTCAACCTGATGCTTCAAGTAGGATATCTTCATCCGTGAGGTTTCTCAATACGTCAATTGTGGTTTCATGAAAACTAGCAGGCCATGCCTGATGCATTGTACAAATGCAGGTTGAATTTTCTTGCTCAGGAAACTGGGAGTGGTATTAGATGTCAAGGACATTTATTTATAAGTGGAGTTCATTGTTAGTGTTCTCATAGAGAAGTGGAAGAAGGGTTGTCATTGCACTTCTCAGCTGCTGGTCATTTGCTATTTATCTATTTATTTATACTTAGAAGGGCCTCACACTTTTTCCATGCTAAATTAAGAGTATCCTTTCTGATCAGGACTACGTTACTCAGTGCGAACATGTTGCCATGTAGGTTATGTATGACCCATCACCATCACCACCTGCTGATCGTTTTTCATGGGAGTTTCGGTCTTTTGTGGACGGTTGTCTTCTGAAGGAGGCAGAGGCCCGTCCAACAGCTGAGCAGGTCTGTGGGACTCGTCTTTGCCACACTAAATGATTTTCAAAGAGTTTGTGTACTGTCCAAGCAGTGAGCAAGGAGCCTTTGAAGCACTGTGTATTGCATTTTCCGAAAAAGTTGTATTTCGATCGTACATATGTTCATATCTTAAATATACCTTGTATCACTCGCTTTTTCCTTTTCTTGTGGTTGGTGGATCTCCTAGTCGATGGTGGACACCTGCAATGTGTCTAACATACTAGAATGTTCAAATGAAGTTTCTTAATCGGTGTAGCTTTATGTATTTTAAGTGAATGGAGATGAACATTCTGGCTCGATCGAGGAATAGTTCCGTTACTGTACGCCATGTGCAGTTGTGTGTTTTCAAACTCATAGACTTCTTCGGGTAGTACAACTTTTATTAGTGTCGACGTGCACCATGCTTAAGATTCACGTTCTCTGTAAACGAGTAATGTTCTACATGCATGCAGATATCGATCTTTGTTTTTAATGTAATTTGGAGCCTTTTTAACCATTTAGTACCATGTATTAATTTTATGTAGTTCTGGCATTTTTAAGGAGTTTTCCACTGTTGCTATTGAAGTAATTAATGGTTGAACACCCGTTGAGGGTGGTATGTTACGTCTCATCGCTGGTCTTGGATGTTCTATCTCTTTTGGTTCTGTTACGGACGTTGTTAATTGCTTTTTCACACGGTGGTGTAAATTCTGTAGGGATTAACTTGTAATTATGTGGTATTTCTTCATGCAGTTGATGTCTCATCCGTTTATAAAGAAGTATGAAGGTCAACAAGTGGATCTGGCAGGTTTTGTACAAAGTGTTTTCGATCCTACTGAGCGACTGAAAGATCTATCAGACGTAAGCTCATATAGTTTTTCGTGGTTTGAAAACTTTGAAGAATGTGTATTTTCTTTAGAGTTTTTCTTTGTACTTCCTACTCCCTATGTTTTCTGTTATGATTTTATGGAATTCGCTTTATTTTGTATTTTGTATTGTAATCGCTGAATGGAAGTGGGATGTGTGGAACAGATGCTCACAGTTCATTACTACATGTTATTTGATGGTGCTGATGTGCGGTGGCCTCATATGAAGGGTCTTTATGCCTCAAACTCCACTCTTTCGTAAGTACTTATTTTTCTTAGAACACTAAGCTGCCTATGGCGTGAGGTGAACAAGGAGAAAGTTAACCTAGTTAGAATCCTGATATCTATCATTCGGTGGTTCAGGATTGTAGTTTCACACTTCTTGCGAAATGTGGTTTCTGAAACTCTCAAGTAGATTGCCTAGGTTTTCACATAACTGGGGCTTTTTTCTTCATTCAATAGTCTGTATAGTTGAGGTCTAAATAATTTCGGTTATAGATGTTTCATATGGTGATTCTTGTGTAAGTTTGTGCATCGTCATGAACCTTGGTCATATCTATTTGGTAAAGGCTTAATTGCTTCTATGCATATAGTGTTTACAAAATTAATTCTTTAGTAAACATGTCTGTGAATGGGGTCTGTGTCACTGGTGGTATAATCACTGCGATAGTTTTGATTCTCTGGCTGTCGTTCAATGTTAATGATATTATCCTGGTGGCTGCATTCGTCACAGATTTGTAAACCAGGTCGTAACTGGTGCTGATGAGATATACAACACTTTGACGAACATCAGGAGTATGCTGGCTGGTGAACGAGCCGAAGAAAGATTAGTGCATGTGGTGGAAAATTTGCAGTGTTGTGCGTTTGCGAAGCGGGGCGTTATGATTCGTGTGTCAGGGACGTTTGTGGTCGGAACACATTTCGTGCCAACAGGTTTGATTAACCACTTCTGCGGTATATCTGAGGTTGCTCGATTGCGTGCCCGTTGTTTTGTCGGGACTTGCAGAATGTCATTGTAGTTTTCCCCAAGAATGGGGTCTTATTATTTTTGAAAGTGTTTAGATGCAGAGGGTGACCAACAGTGGATCATGCAACTTGATGAAGTCAGCATTGGGGGGGGGGGGGGGGGCTCATTCATTGTGGTTTTCAAGCAAGCATGTGGATTATGCAGGTGATGGTGTCCAAGTGGAAGGAGTACCTAGCAGTCCATGCATGGATGTTGAGAAGCGGCGGATGGGCACTTTTAATGAACAATTTTGCATGGAACCAGGGGAACAAATGGGGTCATTTTATATTTCAAAGCAAGAGCTCTACATTCAGCAATAGTAGTGCATATAATTGTTGCTGCGGGGTCTTTGTATGTTTGCCAGTGGATATTACTGGCTGGAAGCTACGGAATGGACGTTGCAGCTGTCTCGACTGCGAATTTAAATGGAACTTGTTAGTGATATGTATTTCGAATACTGTGAAGAAGCCGTTTTTATCATGAAATTCCTTTCCATAGCGGCCAGACTTGATGAACGTTACGCCTGACATGGAGCATTCGGTGGAAGGAATTGTGTAAAAGAGAGGAGCTCCATTTGTGGAACGAAGATGTAAAGATGTAGATGTTGGGGGCCGAAAATATACTAGCCTGCCCTATCTTTTGAGATCACCATCGGCTTTTTTTAATAGAAGGCTCTTGCAGGCTCCGGTAATCCTTTTTAAAAATTAATTTTTAAGAACTTTTCCTTTCTTTTCTTCGCTTTTCTTCTAAATTCGTAAAGCCACGATGAGCTAGATAGAGGGCGGTAATCTAGTTTACTTCATAAAAGATTAGGTGGACAGAAATGTGCAGGTCTCTAACTGCTGTTGTATACGCCGGTGAAACTTAAAAAAACATATTCCCTATCCTTGAACGGTGATCCAAATTTTTCCTTTTTGGGACATCGCTTGTACGGATTTTTTCGTGTCGAATGCGTTATGGTCAAACCTGGGGTAGTTGTGGACTTCAACATGCAGCAAGTAGAGTTTACACAATATTACCTGGAGCTGTCTTTGCCTCGTGATTTAGGAAGCTAAGTGTCGCTCTGCATGCACATGGCTTACATGGACCAAAACGTTAGCAAACAACCGTACTAGTGCTACATTAATGTTCCCAAGAGCATTGCTAGACGTGGAGAATTTGGTATTAAACGAATCTAGGATAGGAGTGTGAGGTGTGAGATTAATAATCAAGGTACCCGGTAACAGGCATCAGTACCTATGGAGGTATGAAGACGTTAGGATAGAACAGTTGGACAGATGCACCGGAAGCTTAGGGGACTTGGATTCACTTGCGCTGTATCAAGTAGCCTTGAACAGAAGTGCTCTGCATAGTTACGTGGGGACCGAGCATGTGATCCATCAGTCAAATTCAACAAAGTCGTCGTATTGGAAACTTGCGGTGCTATAGTGTGCAGGGAGTGAATGGCACGAAGAGGGTGGGAGAGAGGGAGAGAGCATCCCTTTACCCGGGGATGGCCTAGTGTCCCATGGAGGAAAGCATTTGTGGGAGATCCCTTCCTCCCTGTCACTGATGGAGTATGCATTCTCGCTTTTGTTGATGGTGGTTAGCAGCCAAGCCACTGAAATTGCCGTGTTGGCTACCCTGAAATTAAATGAAAGGCTATACCAAAGTAATTTTTAATGGGTTGGTGTGGCACTAGTAAGTTGCATTTTAAAACATGAATTTGCTTTCAAGTAGAACTTTATTTACCTGTGTAGAACAGGATATGAGAAAATTTTAACCTTAGAAATATAATCTTTAAGTTTTCTTCATTTTGCTTCAACAATTGTGATAAGAACAATCCTCTCATATATTTTGAAAGAAAAATTGGAATTTATCATTATATTAAAAAATATATAAATTACATATTTTCAAAAAAAACATGTTAAAAGATTAAACAATTAAGTCTTATAAAAGCTTCTACAACTTAAATTGTACTAATTAATTTTACTTTATGTTTTTATAATATATAAATATAAATATATAATAAAAATAATCTTATTTAAAGAAATATAGAAATAAAATTAATAGTACTAAAATTTTCAAAAATAAAATTCTTAGGGGCTCTCTATTAAATTAGATTTATAAATTCACTTTTCTATATATATATATATATATATATATATATATATATTTTTACACATGCAAGAATGAAGTTGATCATTCTAGGCATGTGACAAAAACACCAATAAATTCCATGACAAACTTGCAAATTTCAAATTAAGAGCTAACTATGAATTTTACTTAAAAGTATCTACTTATATGTTAAGATTTGTTTTGAATTCTAGTACAATCATTGCCTAATTACCTATATGTTGACAAATACTTATGCATTTACACAAGAGATTAATATTGAACAACTTATGCATATACACTCGTACTTATTACAATTTATCAATAATGTTCTATATTAGTTTAAAGTACACCAAAAAATCACAAAAAAAGTCTTGTTGCAATTTTTTTATAAAACATAGACCTTAGTTTATTATAATCTCTAATACAAAATTATATCTACATATTAATTGATTTTAGATAAAATCAAGTATTACTTCTTTAATATATTATTTTATAGCAAAGATTATTATTTATTTTTTAAAATAATTAGTGGCACCTATTAAATTTTGATTGCTTCAAACATTCCTTAATAATGGCATAAAAAATCTACTTACTTTTTATATTCTCTTGTTGGAAAATTAGATTTAATTATAAATCATTGAAATTTTGTTAACTATACGTTTAGTACAATATACAAGACCTACAACAATTGTTGCAATCTTTGAATGATGCCAACAAAAAATAATTGGTTCAAAGTGTTTTTTTATACAATGGTACTTAATGCAAAGTTTTTAGTTTATGCACCTTTATGACTTTAAGAAGCAATTACCACTTCTTTTGTGTTTATTACTCTTCTTAGTATGTTTTTGCATTCTTGATAATAGAAGATGTTATTTATCAATGTAAAAGGCAAGTACTTTATGTATATAATCTTTCAATATTTAATCATTGCATCCAATCAAAACTTAAATTTTTCTAAATTTAAAATTATTATTAAATATCCAAAATTAAAAGTATTTTTGTTAGAAATATAAGATTTTATGCATAAATGTATTGTGGGGCATAATATAAGTATTGGACTCAGATTCTAAATTTAGTAAGGAGTATGAAAAAGGGATTCTATTAGTCATCAATTTTATGTTCAAGTTTCTTTATATTAACTACTTCAAAAACCTAGAAAGACTCATTTTCTTTAAATTGAGCCTTTAGAAGAGGAATTAATATATTGCAACTTTTCTTGTTGTAGAATAATATGTTTTTATAGTTTTGTATTCTAAAGGCTATGAATCATAAAACAATGAAAGAATCAATATGCCATTGTGTCAGTAGAAAAAAAATAAATATTCATTCAAATGTAGTTATAATATCAAAACTAGAATATCATCAAAGACAAAATGACTAGAGACTCTTAAAACAAGCCTAAGAAGAAAAAATGCATTGATAAGAGTGAGAAATGCCTCATTCTTGCCTCTATATATACTATCTAACTAAGAGTTACTTGGCAATATGCAATAGGTCATCTGACATATGTCCAATTTGAAGGATATGGGTCTAACTTATAAGACAAGGTTCCAACATATGCACCATGTGGCCAATTTGTAACAAAATTAATCAACATGTGCAATATGTGGCCAACTTGTAAAGTAAATGGTTAATATATGTAATACATGGCTAATGTATTAGCCTAATTTTTAATCTATTAATAATCTATCAACACTTAGAAAGTCAAATCTATGTCTATTAAGCTTTCAAAAAGCTTCTCTTTGAAATATTATTAAATATATTTAATTTTACTTATTTCTACTCAATTCCTCTTATCTATATAATTTCTAATGTAAATATGTATATTTGTGATATTGTTCCTTTTTTTTAGAATAAATTCTAGAGAGAACAATGATCAAATATTGAAAAATTCTAAAATGCAACAAATTATATTTGCCACATATTTTGATCTTTGTTCTTGTTGAAATTAATTAATAGATCTTTTCAATTATTGATAGTATTCCATACCAAAAAAAAGACCACTTTGTTATTTGATCACTATTGAGGCATTTATAACTTCTTTTATATATTCCATTTGAAACATCATTAGAAGTAATTCCTATCTTTAATAATATCACCAAACATTGAAAGTCTCTTCTAACGTTGTGATACCAAATGCATTATATTTTACCATCCTTTTAAAGAAAGACATGTTGTTCATGAAGATCTTCATCTCTATTATCTTGTCTCAAAGGTTGTGACAATCTCAATGCCTTGTCCAATAACTAAACAAATAATAGATTTTAAGTTGAATGTGCTAGGTATTGATTTTTCATCTCTTTAACACCACAAATATAAAGAAATCACAAACAAGAATAAAGTATAGAATGCAATCTTTATTGAATCTTGTTTGCTAAATAGCAAATAATTGTTTGACTATTTATCTTGGTTTTTATTGATGTCATCAATGAAAACAATCAACTTTCTTTGCTACATTTATAAGATTCTTAGATGGCCTTTATTTATACTCATTAATTTTATATCTATACCAATGTATAAGATATTTTAATCTATTTTGACACCATTATAAGTCTAAGATTTATTCTACTTCAAACTCTTGATTATTGTTTATTTCTATAAGAATAAGTGATTTTTTTTTTTTATATATATATATTTAATGTCTTATATGCTTTAAGAAGAGATATATAGAACACAGAATGGATCTTTATAGACTTTAGTAGATATAGATATTATGTACTATAATTAATATCTTCACAAATAGATGATGGTCCAAATCTACAATAATCTAACTTTATACAAATGTAAATAGTCTTGATATTATTACAAAATAATCATACCTTATTGCCAATGTAGAATTGATTTTATTCTTGCAATAGGTATTTCTATTGATGTTTTCATGTTCTTAAGCTTCCTTTACTTGTGTCTTTATTATTGCATGTGGCTTTGATAACTCAATTGCTAAATCTTTTATTACAAGATTATCAACTTTTGAGAAGTAAAAAATATCAAATTATAAATGATTATCATTGTTAGTATAAAAAATGATTATTAAATAGAAGAATATATTATGTTATTATAGGTAAACGTTGCCAATGATAAAAGAATTATCCAAACATCTTGATGGTAGTTGATGGTATATATCAAATATTACTGTAAAACTTCATTCACCCATTTAATTTATCTATTGATTTGAAGATGGAAATCTATAGATAATTTAATATCTACCTTCAATACCTTAAAAAGAATTCTTTAAAATCTAGATACAAATTGAGTCTTTTTGTCTAATATAATATTCTTTTACAATCTATAATAGCAATAGATATTATAAAAAAAGCATTCAATTATTTCTTTACATGTGATATACTTATATATAATACAAAATATGCTATTTTAGTAAAAAAAAATTATAATTATAAATATAAAATCATAAGAATTTGAGATTTATAGATTAAAAATAAAATTTGTAGAAATAGAAGAATATAATTGTTTTAATATATAAAATGGTTGAAGAAGTTTGTAAGACCAATGACAAAGAAGTTTTGATCTTAAACAAATATTACATAGTTGTACAAAGTTTTTAATTGTCTTTAATATTTGAAACCACTATAAATCTTTTGATATTAATTTAATTTTAACTATAAAATATTATTAATTTCAAAGAAGATACTTTATAATATTTAAAATATTAATGTTTAAAAAAAAAAAAATCTCCTTTGTATCAAGAAAGATTAAATTTTATTATTTTTTATAATTTATCATTAATCTATTAATGACATATGTTTATAAATTTTTTTACATAAATTATATTCATATATTAATAATAAAAAAATAAAAAATAAAAAATAAGAGATAAA